GCGCCGTGCTCAGGGGGTACTCCAAGGACGGGACGCTTGAAAACGGCTGGGTAATCCTCACTTGTGAAGTTCAGGGATTGACTGGTTTGGTCTGAGGTGGATGAGGATGGAAGAGAGGGCAGAGCAGGAGATGGGGTGTTCTAGGAAAAAGAGCCACACGGGTGATGGGCATTTCTGAGTCTCTGCCAGTGCATACCAGAGGCTACTGCTCAGAGCTGCTGCCATGGGACTAAGAGGCACATGACTCCCCTCTGGCCTAGAACTGGGCAGGAGTGCATGGGTTTCCTCCAGCTTCAGTTGTGGTGATCTTTGCTGCCTTGTGTGTGACCTCCAAGTAGACACTGAACTCTTAAGTGTGTGCTTTCTCTGGTTGTCTGGCCCTTGACGGTCTTCCTGCTTTCTGGATTGCTGGGTCACGTCTGGGTCTTCATCTGAGGTCCTCACCAGCCAGTCCTCATGGAGCTGCCCTGGCCTTCTGGCCCTATCCCATCCACTGCTCTTATTTATTTCCCACAGGTTAGTCTCCCTCTTTGCGGGGGCGGGGTCTCCTGCTGAACCACAGCATTTAAATTTCTCCTTCGTTTTTCTTGTCCACCCTCTGCTGGTCAGATGTGCTTGCCAGTCAGATGTGCTTTTAGTGTAGGCCCGGAGAAAAATCGCTCCCTTTCCCTTTTGTTGGTGAGAGTGGTAGACCTTGAAGTAATGAGCTCACTGCCTGTCTTGATCATAGAAAGTAAAGCTCAAGGAAGACTTCTCTCCACTTGCCTTCCGCACCCCCCAACCACCCCCCCCCTCAGGTCTTCTGAGGTGAGGGACATTTTTTGTCAGTTTATCAAACAGCTAGCACCTTCATGAGAGTAAATTTTGTGTCCTGGAGGAAGGCTGCAGTTCCCGCCCCAGGAGCTGCACTTCTGTCCTGGGGTGTATAAGCTGAATCTCCCCTTTAGCTTTGCTGGTTTCGTGTTTGCTCTGTGCACACAGCCAGGGCTGGAATGTCCTGTGATGATGTCAGAAAGCACGGTGTGCCTGTCGTTAGAGAGCTCTTAATTCCTCAATATTGACCGGCATCCTGATTTGCAGCGGACTCCAGTGACTATAATGGACAAGGCTTGTCTGCAGCCGGCTCATAAAATATGGGTGACTGGCATTGAGTTGAATGAGAATAAATCAAGCTGGCTTGTCAGATATTAATCGTAAGTCAGAGTGAGCTATTTATAAGTCTCAGAATGTTTGATCAAGATAACTTTTTCAGTATTTGCATTGGGTGTCAACGCTTTAAAAATATGCTTTGGAGTGCGTGCACATGTGTGTGTGTGTATGCGCATGCATGCATGTGTAGTATTGTGTATTGTGTGTGGAGGAAGGGTATTTTTAGAATTGAGCAGATATAGTCTTTTTTTTTTTTTTGGTTTTTCAAGACAGGGTTTCTCTGTGTATCCCTGGCTGTACTGGAATTCACTGTAGACCAAGGCTGGCTTTGAACTCAGAAGTCTGCCTGCCTCTGCCTCTGCCTCTGCCTCACAAGTGCTGGGATTAAAGGCGTGTGCCACCCCATCTGGCTTGAACAGATCTATTCTTGATCTACTAGGCCTCCCCATTTTGAAATCTGGTCTTAGGGACCGTATCCAGGACCTTTCAGCAACTGTTGCTGCATTTAAAAGAGACCATTCCTTTTCTGCACTCTGAACTTACTTTCTAGTCCTCATTCTTTATTTAATGACTTTGCCTTCTTAGGAAGGCTCAGTGGAGAGTAAGAGTCATGAAGCAAACCCAAACAAAAAAGACTCCATCAGTCTTTGAGTTGGTTTTAAGTCCTTGCATAAAGGGTGCGGGGCTTGTTGGTTTGTCACAGTTCACGATGTTGTAGGTCAGAGTGCTAGGAACCAGCAGGCCACCAAGTGCCCAGTGCAGCCATCTGGTAGCGCTTAAGGGAATGGGTAAGTATTCAGAAATTCTTAGGACGTGAAACGAGTCTTAATTCTTCCCATGGTTGTTTTGAGGACTTCAGAAAGATGTAGTTGAGAGAGCATCCTGAGGCTGAACAAAACAAAAACGAATGGAACCAGAAAACAGTATCTGAGTCTTCTGATAGTTGGGATTTAAGGAGAAAAGCTGTGCTGTTAGCAGCCTGTGCTGCAGTGGGTTGAGTCGGTGCTGGGCGTCAGGCACTCTGGTATGAACTGGTGATCTCTAAAATGTCCTTTGACTTGTGTTCTCAGTTTCCCTTTTTCAGCAGTGAGTTGTTGAACTTTCTGCTCCCCAAGATTTGGTTCCCTGCCAGTTCGTGTGTGCATATATTACTTTCCTGTGCCAAGGCCGATGCCACCTGTGCTGTCTGTGCTCTGGAGGATACTTTCTTCTTCTCTGGGGTAGAAACACCTCCCTTTTATTTCTTTGCAAAAATGTTCTCGGTAGTTTACACAGCGGGGCCATTATTAGGGTTGAGGGCTAGGGGAAACAAACAGCCTTCTCTGGAAGGTTCTGTTCACTCTGTAGCAGAGGTTTGAGCCCAAGAGCTGTGATGAATTTGCCCGTGTGAGACACTCCTCATGCTTTTGTTATCTGTTTGCGTTCTAGGACAACAGTAGTAGCAGCAGCTGCCTTCTTGGACGCCTTTCAGAAAGTGGCTGACATGGCCACCAACACACGTGGTGAGCAGATGGAAGGCTGCCTTCCAGCACTAACCGAATCCAGCACGTGGGCTCTCCCTCTGGGTGGCTTCTCCAGAAGATATGCCTTGAGTTATCAGAGCTTGGCTGACTCGCAGTTGTTGTCTATTTTTAACGCTGTGGGGTAGCACACAGGAGAAGTTGTAACTGGTTCCCCAGATAGTGCAGCGCAGTAAAGACTAGATGAGAATGGAGAGGAACCACTGTTCCCTCGGGAGGCAGCCTGCTGTGGGCGTGGTTGCTCGCGTGACGTCACCCTTGGTCCTCTCCAGCACAGGTTGCCCTGTGATCCTCCTTGTTCCCTTGTGGAGTGAGAAGTCCTGGAGATGACTACATGGCTACTGTCTTGGGTTCTCAACAGATAAGGACGCCTTTTCTAGTAGGCACGGCATCCCCTATGCCGTATCCATCTCTCCGCCTCTAGTTTAGGCTGCGGACCCCATGAATGAGAGACTGATAGAGCCCTAATGGCATCCCACGAGACAGTGCCCAGAGCCTGATATTTAAAATAAGTTTACGAAAGCAGTGATTAAAAGGTGGCGCCTTTTGAAAAGATCGAATGCTTGCGGAGAATACCCGCGATGTTCATAACGTCGAGAGGCACCAGGAGGAAGGGGAAACTCTCAGGCCTCCCTTTGTGCAGGGGCGTCACCTCTATTCCCTTGCAGTCATTCTCCTCTGCCTCCCTTGCCTGGCGGTCTGGGCTCCCTCGTTGTGTGCATAGCTATGTACCTGCTTGCTCATTGTGACATCGGGAACCTTGTGTGTTGAGGGCCTTGCGGGGGGAGGAGGGAATTGTTCCCAGTACCCCCAGTGGTCCATAGCCATTGACCATAGGCATTTAATTAAACAATAGAATGAAACTCCAGACCCTTATATTGCAGGACTCTCAGGAGACTGCACGAATCAATATGTTCCCCCTTGTCCCTAATGAGCACACAGTTTGAGTAGGGAGACAGATGTGTAAATAAAGATGCCAGTGCAGAAATGTGTGGATGATATGTGTGGTTCAGTAATAACTGCAGCACGGAGTGCCAGGGGAATCTAGGAAAGTGAGCAATTAACCTAGCTTGGGGAATCAGGGACATCTTCTCGGGGGAGGTATTGTTTTCCTCCTTTCTGAGATGCCAACAATATCACAAAAAAGTTCCCACAGAACTGTGACAGTGACATCAACATCTGGTTTGTCTGTGTGGTGAGAGGGGTCTTAACCTGTATCATTTTAATCCCTTTAAAATTATGACCTAACTTATGTGTACCTCTTGTGGAAACGTCAGAATCTGCTGCTCTAAAGAACTTACCGTGCACACCAGTGTTTGGCGCTGTAAAACGTGACCATTCATCTGCGGTGTATGTGTGTTTCCTTCTCATCTCAGCCGGGTCTGGAATTGTCAGTCTTTGGGGTACTTTCTGTACCTGTCAGTCAGACGTACAGTATTTTGGGTATGTGCCATGGGATGTGTGTGCAGGTCGGAAAACAGCAGGCAGGGGTTGGTTCTCTGTTTCTAGCCTGTGGTTTCAGGGATCAAACTCAGGTCTCCAGTCTTGGCAGCAAGCGTTGTTACCCGCTGAGCCCTCTTTTTTTGAGACATGGTCTTATGTAGCCAAGGTGACGTAGCTGGGGATAACCTTGAACTCCTCCTCCTGCTTCTACCTCCCAAGTGCTGGGATTACTGGTGCCAGCCATCATGCCTGGCCTGGGAGTGCATTTCCGAGGCTCTAGGATGCAGAGGATGTTTTTGGATAGATCATAATGGGGCAACTGGAAAGGTGACCCCGACTGTCTGTGATTTCCTGCAGTAAGAACTTGAGGTTTTGAAGAGACTGCTCCCAGGGTGCTTTTTGGTAGGAAATTGGAGGGCCTGGGAAGCCTCATGCTTCTAGGGGAGGGGAAAAAAAAAGCAATTGTTTGTTAGAAAAAGCACAGGAAGAAGCTCTTTGTAGAGCCGGGCTTTGGGGGCCGTTCCTGTGGCTGCAGACCTGTTTGTCCCCATGGACAGACTTCTGTGTGACATATCTTTGCCCTGTTTCAGGTCGTTTTGGCAGCAGGTTTGTGTAGAATCCAAATGCACGGGTGCTCTCTTTCAGTGGATGTGGAGACCCGTGTTCCTTAAAGAATTTATGGCTGACAGCTGTTTCCATGGTGATGAAAAGAGTAACTTGGAAGTTTTTCTCTAATGTCAGCAAATTAATTTTTAGTCATAAAAAGGAAAAGTTACAGAACATACTCTTTACTCCCCCCCCAAAAAAAAGTCTAAAAACCAAATTTAGCCTTTCCCCTCGTAGAGATTAGATTTAGTTTCCTTTATAAACATTTTTGTCACTGCCCCCTCCCCGAAGAAGGAAAGCTCATTGCAGATCGGTATGCAGTCCAGCACGAGCTTTTTCAGATTGCTGCTCCCAGGAAGCATGGATCCCATGTTTTTGCTCTAAACTGCAGGACTGTTGTCTTTCATTGCCAGCACCTGTAGACCCGCCATGTTCTTCCTGTTAGACAAATGGAATTCCAGTACCAGGATAGAGCGAGGTTCTAATTATTCTTCTGTTGATGGAATTGTATCACTCCCGGGTATTTCCCATGGTAGGCTGTGCTGCAGTTAGGACCTGTACGTCTATGGGTGTCTGTTGGTTGGTTGTGTGTAGCGTATGTCTTTATGTGGGTGTGTGGTTGTGAGTACATGTGCGTGCGTGCAGGTATGTGGAAGGCAGAGGTTGTTGCTGGGAGTCTTCCTTCGTCCCTCTCCGTCTTATTTTTGTGTGTGCATAGGATGCATGTACATAGTCATGTGTATTGGTGTACCTGTGGGTGTAAAGGCACACGGCGGTCAGAGGTTGATGCAGGGTGTCTTCCTCCACCCCTCTCTACCTCATGTTTGGAGGATCTCTCACTGAATCTGGATCTTATCATTTCAGCCCAGCTTTGTGGCCCATGGCTTCAGGGAGCTGCTCGTCTCTGCCTGGGCTCCAGCCCACCGCGGCACTCAGCTTTTATGTGGTGGCCAGGGATCCAAACTCAGGCCATCACGGTTGTGCGGCAGCTCCCTCTCTCTTGCAGAGTGGCCCATTCTTAGCGGTATCTGCATCACCAAGGAAGGGATGACCCTGTAGAAAATTGTTTACACGTGGGCTTCGGGGTGGTTTGTTGCTGTTTACTCTGCAGGAAGACTCTCCTCCTCTGTCTTTTGCTTAGAAACCTTAAAGGTAGCATTTTAACGTCTCTCTAGTTGGTAAAAGAGAACTACTACTGCTCCCCTCCCTTCCTGTTTCCCTTTCTGTCCACCCTTCCTCTCTCCTTCTCCACCCCTCCTCTTCCCTCCTCCTCTACCCTCTTCTCTTCCCTCCTCTCTATGCCTTCCTCTTGCTCCCTCTTTTCCTCTTTTTTAGCTTTTTGAGGTACAGAGTCAGTGCCATCTACTGCCACCATGCTAGGCAGGTGCCCGTCACAACATCCCGTTCCTGTTTAACTGTCACTTAGTACCCTCAGCCCATCTTCCTTCCTTGCTACCCTCCCCAGCCTCCGGTAACCACCACGCTGTGTTCAGTTTCTCCAAGACCAACTTTTTAGATTCCACAGGAGTAAGATCATAGGCTACTTCTGCTCCTGCTGACTTCACTCACATAGTGATTTCCAGTTCCATCCGTATTGTGGTCAAAGCCAGAGCTTCCTCTTTCACAGTCAATAGGGGCCCACTGATTATCCATCTGTATTGTCTGTAGTCTTCTGTTGGTGGTCTCCATTCCTCGGCTGTGGAGAACAGTCCCGCTGTAAACAGAGCTGCAGATGTGTCTTCCTCGTGCCGTTTCCTTCCCTTGAAATACCACTCAGAAGCTGCCTCGCTGGATCATATGCTAGCTCTATTTTTAATTTTTGGGAAACCTCTAAGGTCCTGCAAGAGACTGTACTAATTTATGTTTCTATACCACTGTACAGGGAGGAGTTTCCTTTCCCCACGTCTCTGTCAGCACTTGTCCGGCCTTCCTTCCGTTCCTTTTCGTTTTGTTTTTCGAGACAAGGTTTCTCCTCGTATCCCTGACTGTTCTGGAGTTCTCACTGCAGACCAGGCTGCCCTCCTGAGCGCGGGGACTAAAGGGGTGTGCCGCCGCTGCATGTCCTGCCCTTTCTCTCTTCAGTAGTGGGCATTCCATTGAGCTGAGCCATGCCATCTTCTTGGGCTTTGCATTTCCAGGCAGTGTCCCTGCGCGTCTCGCATACCCGTGGCCATTTCCAGCTTGTCCTTGGTGTTAACCACGGGAGCACGTGCCCAAAATTTCAAGATAATTTTAACTAGGTTTCTGGTTGTGTTATTTCACAAAGGAAACAGCTTGGAAAGATTTGTCATTATCACAAAATCTTTGGCCTGAGTTATTAAGAAAATTGATTGAAGACCAACAACCAATTAAAATAAGGATAAATCAATCTATTTGTAATACACTTATTTTTTTTATAGAATACTGAAATCTGAGCTATTTTGATCTTGTTTTTCTAAATAAAATGATATAACCTGACTTTTCCTGTCTATATTGATTAATAATGAAATGATAATAGAATTTTGAGTTTCTTAGTACTAGGCACAAGTCTGTATGTTTAGTTTATACTCTAGAATTGACATAACGATGTGTGTTAAATATGGAAACATACTCTCTCCAGATTTACTGGCCATAGAAAAATTAATTTGTAGGCATTAACTATCCATACCACCTCAGAGTTTGTGGCTGTCCCTGGAGTTGAGAAATCTTTGAGTTGATGGGTGTGCATGTATCTGGGTTGGTTAGTTAAAAACTAAGGGCTGAAAAGTAAAGGAAGTGGATACAGAGGCTTCTAGGCATGCTGCCACAGAGGGCCATGTGCTGGGGAGAGCATCTTTACACCTGTAAGCTCATCTGACCCGGGGTCCTACTGCGTGCAACCTCTCAGTCAGCACTGGCCCTTTGTGACCATGACGATGTTTGGAGATGTGACCTTTCTCCAAAGGTCAGCAGGGCCTTTGGAGAGCACAGTGCTATGCGACTTTCAGCTTGGTGTGGTTTTGTTTGCCTCTGTAATTACGTTTAAATCTTTGAAAACCCATCTTGGGGGATGTGCAAAGGTGATATACCAAGTCCATTAGAAGGAGTTTGAGGTTCATGAAAGGAAAAAGTGGGTTCCAGGTAGACGAGATCCTGTTTAAAAGTGAGCATGGTTTTAATATCGGGAATCATGATTGTAACAGCTTTTGACTATGTCCTGTGGGCTAGACCCTGTTTGCACGTAGAGTTGGTCCCTCTGTTAATGTTGAGGATCTATTCTCAGACCCACATTGGATGCCTGGGGTGTATGCTTTCTCACATACATACAGACATACGTACATACATACAAACATCCATACATCCATACAAAACTGTGACAGGGTTTACTGTGTAAATCAGGCACAGTGAGATTAACATCTAATAATCAGAACAGTTACAACAATGATTCTCCAGTAAAAACTATTTAAAACTTACGAATTGTTTATTTCTAGAACTTTCTGTTCAATGTTTTTGGACCATGGTAAACTGAATAATAAGTAAAGCTGGTGAAGAGGCCCCAGTTGTTCTCAACACTCTGTGAGGTAGATTTCACGGGATGGAGGCAAACAGGGAGTGTGCGGAAGCTGACACGGGCCATGTGGCCAGTGAACTGGAGCGCCTCCCGTAGCCTGGACCTGACCCAGTAAGTTAGGGTTCCTTATGTAAGGACCCTCTGGCCTTAGTGGTTGCTTATGTTTGGCCTTAAAGTGACTTCATCCCAAAGGCATTTAAAACCCCAGTCTCTACGAAAGCAAATAGCACCCTGGTTGGGAGCTGGGATGTCTGGGTTGGATTTCTGACTGTCTTGTGTGACCCCAAGTTTTAATTTCCTCGCTATAAAGAGAACTGGAATGTGGGGCTCTCCGGGTTAAGACCAGCCGGCCTTCTTTCATTTTGAGCACTGCATAAGTCTTGCTAAGTTGGTTAAATATGGATGAGGTTGGATGGTGTACATTTCCTTCTCTAATTTATCTTTGTGACTTCTGCTTTCACTCGGGAGAAAGGAATAAAGGAAGCAACATTAATGAGAAGAAAATGGAGGGCTAGGGCAAGAAGAGAAAAGCGGGTGCCGGAGATGGGCCTTTGGGCTGTTTTGAGTTGTGGGAATCTCTTGCAGTTGGTGTTGTGTGAGGGTGGGGTAGGCAAAGCTGGCACCAAGTGTGGACTTTCATGAGTGAGCCTGGACCGCCAAGGCAGGCGAGGAAAATGTTTGTGTCTTAGGTTTGATAGAGCAAGCTTGCTCCTCTCAGAAGTGTCCCGTGACTTCAGCGCGTGATGCGTATTTTAGGATGTTTTTTGTTAAATGCCACCCTCTGTGCTTTATGGACTTGCAGATTTGCTTCATCATCGCTGAAGATGTCTGCGTTCAGGGGCAGTCTTCGGGGCCATGGCAGGACAGTCAGATGGGACTCTGGAATCTGTTTGCTACCCAGGAGACTTGGCTTCCTGGTGAGGGTCATTTATGCTCCCACGTGAGGCCTCTTACCATCTGCCCACAGCCCTCCCATGGCATCTCCACCCACAGAGAACAGCTCCCTTTTCCGAGATCATCACGGCCCTCGGTCCCCCTGCCTGGGCACTCCTCCAGGCTTCCCTGGGCCTCTGTATGTGCTGAGGGGCTGCTCGTCTTCCACGAGTCATTTGAGTCCCACTGCCCACTGTTCCTTCATCTCTCAGACACGAACACTGAGGTCCTCAAGGGCACATGTTGCTGTTGGAGCCTGGCTGTCACCATTGTCCCCAGAGACTGTAAAAGCTCCATTTGAGACCTGTGTCCTGCTTTAGGGGGAATCCAGAGTCCCAAATGATCACTTATGAGCTGCTGACATTGTTGGATAAATGAGTGACTGTACACAACAGCTGCCCACCCACGGGCCTTGGTGGATCCTGATGAGGAGGCTGGATCCTTCCGGGCACTGGAACCTTCTGGGATGGACATCTGGACAGAGTACACTGGAGAGTTCAGAATTTGAATTTTGGTGACCCCTCTTGGAGGGTTCCAGTGTGTCTTCATACTTCACTGTAGCTGGATGTCCCCTGCCCCCATGAGGAGGTCACGGTGCAGGGAAAGATGGGCCACCTGCACTTGGCTGGCTGCAGGGAGGGAGGGAGTCCTCCCTTGCCGGGCAGATGGTGCCAGGAAATTTCCAAGCTCCAGCCAGGCTGCTCTTATTTGCCCCGGAGTTTTATTTTAACTAGACTGTTAGATTGCGATTTCAGTAGCCTTTAACTTGTGAATTGATGTGAGTGTTCGATTCTAGAACCTTCTTTTATGTAATTAGAGTCGTATGACTGCTGTGTACAAAGCACTTTAACCTGAAACTTAAAAAAAAAAAAATTTAATTAAAAATAAAAAGGTCTTTCTTGCAGGCCCAGAGCTGAATTAAAAAACGAACAAACAAAATATTAACTTAAAGGAATGTGATTAGATTAAACAGAAGAAGTTCAAAGCTACCTTCTGTTAACCTATGGCCAATGTTGGGAGCTGGCCTTGTTCTTTTGGGACCACTTCTGTGACCTTGGTTATTTTCAGTTTTCCATAAGTATTTAGGAACTGGTTCAATTGTAATTTCTCTTGAGGAGTCAAACTTAGCAAGACAGTGGACTCGAGGTTGGCATGTTGGTTTTCCTGATGGTCATATGTCAGCCAGGGCTTAAGACACGACATGAAAATACAAGAGGGGGCATTTAATGTGAAACACGTCTGAAACTGAGGAAGGACAATGTGGGACATCACGGATGTCTAGGGAATAATGTTGATTTGCTGAAACATTTATGACATGATGCACTTCAGTTTGCTCACAGAGGGCTGGTCAGCTTGGTGACTGCAGTCTCTAATGAAAGGGAGGGGATGGTGTGTGTGTGTGTGTGTGTGTGTGTGTGTGTGTGTGTGTGTATGGTATGTGTATATGTATGTGGGGTGTGTGTATGTGTGGTGTCTGCATGTGTGTGGGGGGGTTGTTTGTGTGGTGTGTGTATGTGGGGGTTGTGTAGGAACATTAGATTGAAGATGTTTTGGAAAACACCGTTGAGTTTAGTTTTGCTATTTTAAAGTTGACCTCAATGTCACTTCACATGAGTTACCCTCAGGAAGCCTTGCGCATGCCTTGCTCTCCGGCAGTTTTGCTTTGAAAATGTTTCATTGCTGGATTGTATGTGGGTGTGAGGCGGAAAAACAAAGCTATAAAAAATAAGAATTTTCATGCAGTATGTAGTCAGAAAGGAAATGGGCTGGGCGAAGTCAAAACAGTTATTTTTCTCTTGTTCTCTTTGTTTGTTGTTTGACTTTGCTTTAAATTGCTGTCCCCTGTGTTAGGACTTGATTGACGGGCCTATGTCACACGGTAGCCGACATAGCTAGGCAGGCTCATTCTGTGCAGGATGATTTCTTTCATGGTAGAAACAGTGTGTGTACAAGTGTGTGTCTGACACACTGTTCAATATGGTATCACTGACTGCATGTAGTCAGCATGTCTGAAGAACTAATTTGTTTGTCGTTGTTGTGCCCCCCCCCCCCCCCCCCTTGAGACAGGGTCTCACTGTGTAGCTTTGGCTGTCTTGGAACCCACTCTGTAGACCAGGCTGACCTCGAACTCTGAGATCTGCCTACCTCTGGCTCCTGAGGATTTTTAATTCTGGCTGCGATTAAAACACCATGCCTGGTATTTGCTTTTGACCTTGAGATAGTTTTCTAATCCATGATGGCTTTAACCTCATGATTTTCCTGCCTCAGCTCCCTTCCTGAGAGGGCAATGTTTAGGAAAAGACTTGTCCCAGACTTCTTGCAGATGCAGTAAGGGAGGCAGGCTCAGCTTCTGAGCCAGGTCAGC